AAGCATTACACCACCTCATTGGCTTGTTTTCGTCTTTGTTGTCAGTTCTTCTGATAAACGACACACATGGACCTTGCCATCCACCTTATGCAACAAAAATCGTGATTCGTCGGACCAGACAACTTTCCTTCACTAATCGAATATCCAAGATCGATGGTCACATATCTACTGCAGGCACTGTCAACGATGTATTAGTTAGTGCAGACATCTTGATGAATCGACAGCTGAGTAGCCTCAAGCGCAAGTTTTCTATACACTGCACGTTGAGACAACTGTAGTCTTCTCCATTAAATTCGTCTGTAATTAGTGTCACATTCTCCATTCTGTTGCCTTTTACAAGCCGGCCAGTCTCCGTTTCCCTAGAGTACCAATGAGGAGGATTGACCAATACCAGATTTCTCCCTTTTACCATTCTCGTTAGATAAAACCCATCCGGGTTGCACGAGGTCGTCTCACAAGCCTCTCTGTTTTAGAGATACACCTTCCCAGCAGTCTCATCATCACAATTTGTCCTTTTACCTATCTCAGTTAGATCTTTTCTCTTGCTCATTTTGTCCACAAGTGACCAAGTGGATAATCCCCTTGGCTATCGGAGGGCACTTATTAGAATTAAGAAAATGCCGTTCAGAAATGAAAAATCCCGAGTTGTTAGATGTGGAAAATTAAATACTTATAGACTTTTCACACACTTTCGATTCCACGCAGGCAAGTGCTGTGTGTGGCAATAATGATATAGCGCGTCTATTTCCCGCTATATAATTATAGCAGCAATTAAATGAATGTAATATATATATATTTTTAAAGTTTAATTTAAACTACAAGTAACATAGAAAAGAAAATTTTAAATTATGCAAAAATGCAAAAAAGTAATCGGATAATTTACAAAAATCCAGGAATGAGTTGCATAACTTTACCGGCATCAACATATTAAAACTGCGTGAGGCGCCATATGTTATGGTATTTTATTAGAAAATATTTTATATTATAAGTATTATAAAACGTCAAAAAGCATAGTTTTGAGGATAGAGACGAGTTTTATTTTATTTTTTTTAAATTGTAAATGCTAATAACGAGTAAAATCTTCATTAAGTCCTACCCCACTCGAAATACGACACGCGACTCTGTTTATCTTCCCACCCCCTCGACCTTTAACCAAAAAATTTGATAGTATAAACGTCCCTAATACACAAATCTCCCTACAAATTTTCAGAAATTTTCGGCAAAATGTGCAAGAGTTATTAAGCTTCTTACTGGATGAACAAAAACATGTCCCCATAAGCACACACTAACATCCATACATACAGGGAAGAAAACTAAAATATTTTTTGCATTTTTCGACGATTCGAAATCCCGAATCCAAAAATGTAAAAATTTTGGGGGGCATTTTTTTACGATTACCATACTTTTTTCCCTTTATATATAAAAGAGCCAGAAATACGTAAAAATGCATTTAAAAATGCAATTGTAAATTTTACAAAAAATATAGAAATTATCTTCGTATAATAAACAATGTATTTTTTAAACATTAAGTCACGAAAACTAAGTTCAAAATATTTTGCATTTTATTAAAAATACAAAAATACTTTTGTATTTTTGTACTGTAGTTTTGATAAAGTGCAAAATGTCACTAATGAGAAATGAAAAATACGACTAAAAATACACAAGTATTTTTGTATTTTATTATTAAATTTCACAAATAAAAACATAAAAATATTTAATAATTAAGCTGTTTATTTTTTATTGCTTACATTTAAGTAGATTTTTTATATAATTTACTTTTTAAAACCATTTTATACGATTTTATTATTGAATGTTAATTAATTTTAAGGAGGAGGACATTATTTAAACTAAAATATAGTTCTTATAAAGGTTCAAATATAAATTTCGTTGCACTGAAGCTAGTATAACACGACTTATTTGCTGTAGAATGTATAGAAAGGGTGGGAGAGATGCCCCGTGTAAATAATAGCAAAATAAAGAAAACATCGTTTTATAAATAAAAGTAAAATTTATGTAACAGTATTATTATTATAAATTTATTGTTTATTACGCTGAAACAGGTGTGGGAATGTATATACTACAGAAGAGATCTTTTCTCTACGCATTAGAGTAAATGAATTTGATAAAATCTGAGTTAAATTTATATTCGAAAAATATACATTTCTGTACATTTACATCTCTGAAACTCAGAGAAATATGGAAAAAAGCTAGACAGACAGACGGAACTGACTTTAAACTTTCTCCTCTTATAGTCCTATATATTGGACTTCAATTCCCCAAAAGGATTTAAATACAAAATGAAAATTTTAAATTTAACTTCTGCTAAAAAAAAAAAAAAA